TAGGTGGTACACCACTTTCCCACCTGAAAGCTTTAGATTTGACTGTATAAACAAAACTCAATTAATTAATAAATTGATGACTTGTCTTCTGGACCTGAAAGACATAAAGAATAAAGAAAACATGCAACCAAAAACATAAGTCCGTAAAGAAAAAGATGAAGTCTCAGATGGTTCTTTCAAAGAACCCATCTTCAAGTCAGAAAGGCCTTTGTATGATATCCTAGAACAGTTCATGACGACATCAATTCAATTCACGAAAGGTGGGGAAGCTTTAATATCCTTTATGGGTGGTAGTAGGATAAAATCTTTAGCTGATTGAAGGAAATTCTTGCCAAGTCTGGGGGATTCTGTTTCTGGCTTGTGGATGGAAGGATGTTCTTGCACAATGACTGATGTAAGTGACTATGATGGGCTTCTTAGGCCTTTTGATATGATGCTTGAGCTGTGAGTGGTATATATTTAGGAAGGGAAATTAGTTCCGTTTTTTCTAAAGGTGTAAAAATAAAATCATAAGAACAACTTGATCTTCCTGCAATTGCCACTGAGTCAGCATAGGTATGCAGTGTCTAGGGCAAAGAATTTCCTTCTATGCCAAACAAGTGCAAGAATACTGAAGTTCAGGGGCGGACTGACAACTCATGGGGCCCCCGGGCAATAGGGGATCATGGGGCCTCTGTGTCCTTGCCCAAACTCAAAAAGCCTATGAAAAAGGTATCAGGGGCATCTCATGGGGCCCCCCTACTGACCCCGGGCCCTCAGGCAGTGCCCAAGTTTCCAAATGGTTAGTCCGCCCCTGCTGAAATTACAAGTGAATGACTGCTTTGGTCATTGCAGACAGCATACATCTTACCAACTTTCTTGGGTTATTTTTGGGGAGACACTTTGACAAGACATATTATTGCATGAGTTTTTCCCGAAGGTCCTTTGTGATGTGTAGTATCTCACTTGGCCTGGAAGGTTTTACCTCCTTCATGACCAGGCCAGTTTTTGCTATTCAGCACTGACCTCCTTTAACTGGCAGTTGCGCAGTTACGAAACACTGTACATAAATTACATTTTTATTATTTTTTCACACAAATAGGGCTTTCATTTTGGGTGGGTTTTTTTTTGTTATTGTATAAATGAAAAAAGACCAAAAATCTTAAATACAAAAAATGTTCTACTTGCTCAAAAGTCTGCAGATGTAAACAGAGCTTCAGATACAAATGAAAGTGTCGCGCTGCTAGCATAAATCAATACATGTAATATACAAACAAAAACGTGACTGATAGTCCCAAAAGATGATAAAACAGAAAAATACTGAACTGAAATCGGGTGCCATTTGTGAAGGTCCAGTGGTGATTCATAAGGGGAAGAGTGCACAGAGGAGCAAGTTATGTGTTACCCGCACTAATAGGGGAGATGCCTTGTTTGACCTGTGTCCACATACAGGTCCATGTGAGAAGGTGAGAGACCACCTGGAAGTCTATGTTCACTGTGGTGATTCATTCATGTGTTGAAGATTTACAGCACTGAGATTTTGGGTGCAATCACCAGCAGGGAGATTTTTCACTTATTTGGATTTTTTTTTTGAAGAATCTCATTTATTTTTATGTTTTATCATCTTTTCGGACTATCAGTCATGTTTTTGTTCGTATATTTACATGTATTGATTTATGCTAGCAGTGCAACACTTACATTTGTTTTAGTCTGTTTTTTATGTTTACACACCTCACACGTGTTTGCAGGAGCTCATCTATTATTATTCTCATTATTTGGCAGCGCACGATTTTCTTTTGCCTTTAGAGCTTCAGATACCCCTAAATCCCCTAAGCTTGGATAATAGCCCACATAGCTGACTCTGTACAAAATCCACTTATAAGTCAGTCCCTTGGTATAGCAGGTTCACCTACCTTGGCATGGTACTTTGCAAGAGTCCAAGTATAGCATTCTCACTATGACAGATTGCTGCTGGGTCTTTGCATTCATGATTTTTTTTTTCTAAAATCTGTTTCAAGCTCATGACTGCATACAGCAAAGGTGTTGTAGTGTCCCATCTGATTTGTGTTTTTAATTTTCACTTATCCTAGTAAATGAGGCAAAACAACATTAAAATTGACTTTGCAAAAAATACCCAATCACGTGCAAGAAGAATTTGATTTTTATTTCCAGACAGTGTGCATTTGGAGCCATGCACCCACTCCTTGATAGCAGCTGTGTCCATGCACCTGTTGCATCTGCATCCACTTCTATACACTACCTGCACACAGCTTGGGGCGGATAAAGAAGCTAAAAAAAATCCTTATGCATGCAGTACATGTGCCAGCACCCATCTGAATGAGGCTTTTACAAAGTGAGGGTTCACATACAGTCATGGCCGAAATTGTTGGCACCCTTGATATTTCTCCAGGAAATCATGTATTTCTCACGAAACGTATTGCATTAACACATGTTTTGCTATACACATGTTTATTCCCTTTGTGTGTATTGGGACAAAACAAAAAAAGGGAGGAAAGAAAGCAAATTCGACATAATGTCACACAAACCTCCAAAAATGGGCTGGACAAAAGTATTGGCACCCTTTCACAACTGCGGATAAATAAGAATGTTACAAGCATGTGATGCTCCTGTAAACTCACCTGGGGCAAGTAACAGGTGTGGGCAATATAGAAATCACACCTGAAAGCAGATAAAAAGGAGAGACGTTCACTTAACCTTTGCATTGTGTGTCTGTCTGTGCCACACTAAGCATGGACAACAGAAAGAGGAGACGAGAACTGTCTGAGGACCTGAGAACCAAAATTGTGGCAAAATATCAACAATCTCAAGGTTACAAGTCCATCTCCAGAGAACTAGATTTGCCTTTGTCCACAGTGCGCAACATTATCAAGAAGTTTGCAACCCATGGCACTGTAGCTAATCTCCCTGGTCGTGGACGGATGAGGAAAATTGATGAAAGATTGCAACGCAGAATAGTCCGGATGGTGGATAAGCAGCCCCAAACATGTTCCAAAGACATTCAAGCTGTCCTGCAGGCTCAGGGAGCATCAGTGTCAGCGCGAACTATCCGTCGACATTTAAATGAAATGAAACGCTATGGCAGGAGACCCAGGAGGACCCCACTGCTGACACAGAGACATAAAAAAGCAAGACTACAGTTTGCCAAAATGTACTTGAGTAAGCCAAAAGCCTTCTGGGAAAACGTCTTGTGGACAGATGAGACCAAGATAGAGCTTTTCGGTAAAGCACATCATTCTACTGTTTACCGAAAACGGAATGAGGCCTACAAAGAACAAAACACAGTACCTACGGTAAAATATGGTGGAGGTTCAATGATGTTTTGGGGTTGTTTTGCTGCCTCTGGCACTGGGTGCCTTGACTGTGTGCAAGGCATCATGAAATCTGAGGATTACCAAAGGATTTTGGGTCGCACTGTAGGGCCCAGTGTCAGAAAGCTGGGTTTGCGTCCAAGATCCTGGGTCTTCCAGCAGGACAATGACCCCAAACATACGTCAAAAAGCACTCAGAAATGGATGGCAAAGAAGCGCTGGAGAGTTCTGAAGTGGCCAGCAATGAGCCCAGATCTAAATCCCATTGAACACCTGTGGAGAGATCTTAAAATTGCTGTTGGGAAAAGGTGTGTCCTTCCAATAAGAGAGACCTGGAGCTGTTTGCAAAGGAAGAGTGGTCCAAAATTCCGGGTGAGAGGTGTCAGAAGCTTATTGATGGTTATAGGAAGCGACTGATTTCAGTTATGTTTTCCAAAGGGTGTGCAACCAAATATTAAGTTAAGGGTGCCAATACTTTTGTCCAGCCCATTTTTGGGGTTTTGTGTGACATTATGTCATATTTGCTTTTCTGCCTCTGTTTTATATTTGTTCCAATACATACAAAGGGAATAAACATGTGTATAGCAAAACATGTGTTAATGCAATACCTTTTTTGTGTGAAATACTTGATTTTCAGGAAAAATATCAAGGGTGCCAACAATTTCGGCCATGACTGTATACTTTACTGTTAAAGTGTTACTAAACCCACAACAGTAAAATCAACCTGTATATGCAGTAAAGCATGCTTGGTATACTCACTGTGGAACTTAAGGGATTAATCCTCTGCATTGTGTAAAAAGGATGTTTGACCCTGTCTTCTCTGATCTTCCCCTTCTTCCATGTTCCCCATTTCATCTCCTGATAGAACAGAGCCTCGGTGACACTCTGCACATGCTCAGTTTGGTGTGCACTGCTAGAAAGGTTTTTCTTTTTCTTTTGAGAGTGCATGTGATCATCACAGGGCCAATCAGCACTGTCCAGACAGAGGGTCAATCTCATAAGGCAGTGAGAGAATGATGAAAACTCCTCCTACAAGCTTTAACCAGTGCTCTGCCAGACACTGATAGAAGTCACAAGACTACTCTAACTGCTGATGAGAAAAGATATTTAGCAGTTTATATTTACTAAAATAATTGCATTTCCATGTTCTGTGTACTGTGGGAGACCAGATAGAGTGAATGCAGGGTCCTGGGTTTAGTCATACTTTACTTTACTTCTAGGAGTAAGCTACGTGTGAACAAAAATCCTTTTTTCTGCATAAAGTTATTTTTTACTGTATTTCTCTTTATTCATTAAGATAGTGATAATTCACTTTCCAAACTGAAAATTCACTTTCAAAGTGAACATATTTTTCTCCTTTAGTAAATGAACCCCATTGGTTGTAAAACATAGCACAGCATTTCTTAAAAGATGAATACATTTACAGTGTGGCCCATTACATTAAATCACATGCATCAACATGCATTATTTGCAAATTAACGTGTGTTGCATTACATTTGCTGGAAGACAAATGAGAATAAATCCTCCACCCCAGTAATCTTTAGTAGTCTAGTGTGGCAAAACATCGTCATATCTAAGAAGAGTGTTTTGTATGAATGTATTGTATTAGAAAGTCCTTTTAAATAGAGTTGTTTAATCTATTGCAGCAAGAGTGTCAAAAACTTGGATAACAACCTCGTATGGGTTGGACAGCAACAGGGGCGGACTGATCATTTGGAAACTCGGGCACTGCCCGAGGGCCCGGGGTCAGTAGGGGCCCCATGAGATGCCCCTGGTACCTTTTTCATAGGCTTTTTTGAGTTTGGGCAAGGACACAGTGGCCCCATGATCCCCTATTGCCCGGGGGCCCCATGATTTGTCCGTCTGCCCCTGGACAGCAAGGGGCTTAGTGTTTAGCACTTTTAAATTACAGTACTGGGGTCTTCAGTTTGATATCTGGCCAGCATGGTATCTGAATGGAGTTTGTATGTTTGTGTTGGTTTCTGGTCACATTCATGCTGGTAGGTTAACTGGCTCCTATCTAAAGTTGCCCTAGCATATGAGTAGGAACCTTGATGGCATGGACTGAAGTGAAAGTACAGTATATAAAGCACTGCACAAATTATTTGTTCTATATAAAATACATACATGTAATAAATAATGTTTGGGGTCTCCTTTAACTGATATTCGCTCTTTTCGGCAGCATTGAAAACAATATATCTATGGATTCCAGAATCATGAAATTCTGAAATTTTGGTTTACAACATATGAAGTACCCAGGACATAATGTATAAAGAATGTTGTTAGTTCCTTCTAAAATTGAAACACGCTTAATGTAGTGAAAGGCTTTTATATAAAATCATTAGGTTCCCTGCAGATTAATGGTATCACAAACAAGTATTGTGTCCCAATACATCTATTATGTCTTCACATTTTCCATTGAGGCAGACATAAAGTAATTGGATGCTTTCAGAAGAAGAAACGACCCCAGTCTGTATTTGAGATGACATGCATCATGGAAATGTACTATATATTAGCCAGCAAAGCATATGTAATATTGGGAATAATTTCTTCGTCTATTTCCAATTCCTAATTGGTTTTGTTGCCCTAAGCGGGATAGTAATTTTTCCATCCTAATAAAGTCAAGAGTGTAAGTATAAATGATTTAGCGTTATCCATTTTTCAAACCATACATAACTGCAAATGCCCTGTCTACATTTGACCTAAAAATAGAGCTATCTGATGAAGAAGCAAAACTACTCATTAGTGCTAATAGTGTCATTCAGGGCTGAACAATTACCATTTACATCTTGCAAATACATTATCTTCTTGAAATGTCAAGGATTTCTTGTTGATGTGGAACGATCATGGAATATTTAACACCTTGTTGCTGGTGCATGTAATCAATTGCAAACATGTTATGTGTGACTCATTAAAACCAAGCTCAATAATTGTAATTAGAATTTGCTTCTATTTATTTGTATGGTGTTTATTGATTTCTGTCAGTGTGAATGTTCTGTTAAAGCAAATAGCTAAATCATGTACCAACTCAGAGTTAAAAGCATTCAAAATACACTGCTATACTATACTATATACATTGAAGGAAATAAGTATTTGATCCCCTACTGATTTTGAATGTTTGCCCACTCACAAAGAAATGATCAGTCTAAAAATCGAATGGTAGGTATATTGTAACACTCAGAGACAGAATAGCAACAAAAAATTCAAAAGAAATGCATGTCTAACAAATTATGCACTGATTTGCATGTTCATGAGGGAAAGAAGTATTTGATCCCCTATCATTCAGCAGGATTTCTGGCTACTAGGTGTCTTTCATGCAGGTAACAAGCTGAGATTAGAAGCAGTCTCTTGAAGGGAGTGCTGCTAATCTCATTTTGTTACCTGTAGAAAAGACACCTGTCCACAGGAGCAATCAAACAATCAGATTCCAAACTCTCCACCATGGCAAAGACCAAAGAGCTGTCCAAGGATTTCAGGGACAATATTGTAGACCTACACAAGGCTGGACTGGGCTACCAAACTATCGCCAAGCAGCTTGGTGAGAAGGTGAAAACAGTTGGTGCAATCATTCGCAAATGGAAGAAACACAAAACAACTTCAGTTTACCTAGGCCTGGTGCACCATGCAAGATCTCACCTCGTGGAGTGAGAATGATCATGATAACAGTGAGGAATCATCCCAGAACTACAGGAGAGGATCTTGTCAATGATCTGCAGGCAGCTGGGACCACAGTCACCAAGAAAACAATTGGTAACACACTACACCGACAGGGATTGAAATCCTGCAGTGCCTACAAGGTCCCTCTGCTCAAGAAAGCACATGTCCAAGCCATCTGAAGTTTGCCACTGAATATCTGAATGATGCAGAGGAGGACTGGTTGAAAGTGTTGTGGTCAGACCAAAATTGAGCTTTTTGACATCAACTCAACTCGCCGTGTTTGGAGGAGGAGGAATGCTGCCTATGACCCCAAGGACACCATCCCAACTGTCAATATGGTGGTGGAAACATTCTGCTTTGGGGGTGTTTTTCTGCTAAGGGGACAGGAGAACTGCACCGCATCAAAAGGACGATGGACAGGGCAATATACCATCAAATCTTGGGTGAGAACCTTCTTCTCTCAGCCAGGGCATTGAAAATGGGTCATGGATGGGTGTTCCAGCATGACAATGACCCAAAACACATGGCCAAGGCAACAAAGGAGTGGCTCAAGAAGAAGCACAATAAGGTCCTGGAGTGGCCTAGCCAGTCTCCAGACCTTAATCATATTGAAAATCTGTGGAGGGAGCTGAAAGTTCAAGTTGCCAAACGTCAGCCACCAAACCTTAATGACTTGGAGAGGATCTGCCAAGATAAGTGGGCCAAAATCCCTCTTGAGATGTGTGCTAACCTGGTGGCCAACTACAGGAAACGTCTGACCTCTGTGATTGCCAACAAGGGATTTGCCACCAAGTCATGTTTTGTGAAGGGGATCAAATACTTATTTCCTTCATGAACATGCAAATCAGTGCATAATTTTGTTACACATGCATTTCTTTTGAATTTTGTGATGCTATTCTGTCTCTCAGTGTTACAATACACCTACCCAGGGGCGGACTGACCATTTGGAAACTCGGGCACTGCCCGAGGGCCCGGGGTCAGTAGGGGGCCCCATGAGATGCCCCTAAAACCTTTTTCATAGGCCTTTTTGAGTTTGGGCAAGGAGACATGGGCCCCATAATCCCCTATTGCCGGGGGCCCCATGAGTTGTCAGTCCGCCTCTGCACCTACCATTCAATTTTTAGACTGATCATTTCTTTGTGAGTGGGCAAACATTCAAAATCAGCAGGGTATAAAATACTTATTTCCTTCACTGTATATTGTATACAGTATTTTGGAGGTATAGCAAGTATAGGAATTACATTTGATGCCACCTCCAGGTGGTGTGAAGACCCAGTGGTAAGAAAGCAGTTTACGTTTATATGACGTACTGGATATGGCACTGAAAGTGCATTTGTTTGTGAGTCTCCCGTTTTAGATTTTATTAAATTGTTTTAAAATGTATGGAGAGAACTATTGGTTTTATCACTTTTGCATAAGTATATGTCACACGGAGTGGAGGTCAAACAGAAGCTCCAGTTCATGTGTTGGTGCCTGTGATTGCTACTGAGAGCCATGAGCCAGTTGTAGTATAGCCCTAGCAGGGAAAAAAAAAGTGCATTTGATCTTCATTATTGATTAAGATCCAATCCAGGAGATGAGCCCATATAGTTCACTGGGTGATGCATGCGATACGTAGGAGATCCATTGAAGAGAATACTGTGATATCTGGAATTCACTGGCAGTTGGCCACACATACATATTTAAGGCTTTTCTTTTCTTTTTTTTTTTGTTTCAATATTTGAGACTTATTTATTTAAGAGACGCTGTTTTCGTTGCGCTGCATTATTATTTGTGTCATATCTTAGAGGGGTGGAGTGAAAATGCCTAACAGTGCTGAGTAGCAACTAAGAAGTCACAGATTTGCAAGCATGTTGATTTACTTGTGATTTATGTACATTAGGTTAATTTTTCACAGATAGTTTATGGTATTTTGCTTTAATAGCGACTGTGCTGGTTGTCTTTCACTTTCCACATTCATAATGACAGGTCAGCATTGATTACAGCATGGTCATAATATAGTTGCAGAAAACATAACCATGAAGGGAGGTGCTCAAATCCTGATGCAGGGTGAGCTTCTTCAGGGTTCATGGGGTGTAGCTGAATACAACTGATAAAAAAAAAAAAAAAAAGAAAAAAGAAAAAAATGCCAAATCATAACACATATATATTGTACCAAAACAATTTGTCATTCATCCTCTTCATTGTGACCTTGGCCTGCCTTGTGGACTTTATTTTCTGCCTTTTGCCTTGCACGTTGTTTGCCTTGCTGATACTGACTTCAGATTGTTTTATGGCTCTGCTTTTGCTTCCTGATTTGGTACTATGCTGTTTGGCTGGTTGTGAGCTCAGCTGAGCCCCAACTCTACGTCTGTCTACTGATCTGGTACCCCAGTGATAGACCTTGGCCACCCTCAGCAAAGGTCTCAACCTTGTTCCTGTATTCTGTTTGGGTACCATGATGTTCTTTCCCTTGGGGTCTGCTCCATGATCCCCATCCCTTCACTCAATTCATCGTAGCAACATGCACCCAGTACTGCCTGCAACTCAAGCACTCATGCTACTCCATGTCCTCACACTCTGTCACTACCTTCATTCACCTGGTCTCTAACAAGTGCATGATAGAACCCTTCCGCAGTGTTTAGTGACAAGGACATGTGTGATGAACTCAGTGGGCTGAATACTAACTGGAAAATACCATACATAGAGGTTGATTTACTACAGGTAAATAGATTGTTTGCTTTGCAAGGGAATCATCCCTAGAGTTTAGTGAATGGGGTGAGGTTCTGATGACTCTCATCTGATGACTCTGATGATTATTCAATCATATGCAAGTAAAATTGCTGTTTTTTTCATGCACCTAAATGGTTATTCTTTTCAAAGTCATCATATTCACTAAGTTCTGGGGAAAGTTCTCTTGTAGAGTGCAACTTCACTTGTACTATTCATCTTGCAAGTGAAGTTGCACTCTGCAAGATAATTTTTCCCAGAGCTTAATATATATGATAAAGCTTCACTTTGCAAAAAATAATAGTAAATCACCCCTACACTCTATATTCTGGAGAGTTTTTCTTCCGACAGAGCAGTGAAATACAAAAATGAAACTCCTATAAATAGACATAAAATTTTCATTTCTAGGGTCGTTTTTTTTTTTTTTTTTTTTTTTTTTTTTCTTTTTTAGCAGTACCTTGTTAATCAACATGGCAAGGGGCTATATGATGGCCTTTCTATGCAGATTCTGGGCTACATGCCTTGTGTGCCTTTCTGGATGAGGTCAGATGCGAGCATGCAATTGTTTGGAGGAAATGTGAAAATGTTGCTGCTATAAAAAAAAGTGGAATTTTAAAAGTAACCACATTCTCCCACTGAAGAACAGATACTAGGGCAGATTTTTCACCCCGCGAATATGCTTTGGTAACATGACAGTTAGTGCTTGATGAATGTGCAGAAAATGTATGGTGAATGTGCTATGAACCCTTTTATATATGTCCAAGAAAATCATAGGAACCATTTTATTAAGCTGTGCAGTAAAAAAAAAAAACCTTTTTACATTATAGGCTCAGTTATTACAAACATAAAACATGCAGTATTTTCAATGCCCTGCAATTTTTGCATCAAAAAATTGATTTTTCAATCCTCTCGAGGTGATCAGCCAAGAGTTGTTTAAAAGAGTGATAAAATAAAGCTTTGATTCATGAGAAAATATGACTTTCAAATGTTAAAAGCCCATTTCATGAAAAAAATTAAACCCACTCCTAAGCAATATTTCTGTTTGTGAACTGAGCATTTTTGGAGAAAATAAAAATAAGTAAATATTCAGTAAAAATGACTCATCCATTTAGGGAATTGAGCCTTTCAAATGTGTTACTAGTGTTCAGGGGAGAGAAACTGGCATCTTAAAAGTGAATCCAAAATGACAATGCTGAATGTTTAGCATAATTCAAAATTCAACATGGCTTCTGATTTTAACACCCTTAAATATTTTACACACAAGTTTACAATGTTATACAGGATATCTAGAGATGTATTTTTTAGATTACTCGTCAAGGTCACTGCCCTATTACAAATGACTTCCTTCTATACTTAATCAACATATAAATAGAAATAGTTGGAGCACGAGTGCTGTGGAAAAATAATGTTCCCCTCTATTTTTATCTTTTATGGAAATAATGTCAACTTCTGTGAAATATGGATCTATTTTTGGAATGGCATTAGACACACTAGGCTTCTGTAGTGTTTTGTCGGGATGAAATCACAAGTCTCCTCGTAGGTTCTTATTGTATTATGAACATTTCAGCACAAGGTACTTGTATAAAATATATTTACAACCCAAACTTGCATTTGCAAAATAATACATAGTTGAAAAAGGAAAAGCTACAAGACACATAGATTTAATAGGGTTTCTTTAATAAAGGAGTAGAGGATGTTCACTGGGCAAAGTTAGTAAAGCGAGGTTGTTCCATTCTGTCCTGTGTACTAGGATTTATTTAGCTGTTAATCATGCCACTTTTGACCTTGTCTGAAATGTTCCTGCGCTAATGTGGCTGTGAATGTTTTGTTCTTCACTTTGGCTTTGATGCACAGTATCTGGATCTAATAGCAACAAACCTGACTTGACCCTCAACTGCAACTCTATCCTATCATGGTCTATGTATGTCCCACGTTAGGATTCAGGAGAGGTGCACTGAAAATAGCTGAGGTCTGGATGCTGAATCCGAACCCTCACTGAAATCAATTGGAGCTGAATCTCAAGAATTAATATATATTCAATATATATGCCATATTCAAGGCTTTTAGACAAGAGATTGTGAAAAAAAATCATTGGTAGCTGAGCACAACCATGGGGGGCATGTGCCAATGAAAAATAAACAAATAAATGAAAATACAATTCAGAGGGAAAAGCATTTATAACTTTATGATAATACTTAAAATTAAACTGCAAATCCTTTAAATAACATGCCTGGGGATTGGCCTAAACCTGCCAGTGTAGGGGCTTATATTTATGATGTGTAGGAGGTATTGCAAAAAAATTAGAAAAAGTCACAAAAAGTAATTTAAATTGTGGCTATTGACATTTCCCTTTTTTTAAAAAAAAAAAAAAAAAGTCCATTTGCTATGTGAAAAAGTTAACAGAAGGTATAATCAGATTTTTTTGGTATGTTTGAAGTTGGCATCATCAAAACAAGGTTGGTGAAGCAGTAAAGACAATTTTAATCACCATCTCAAAAGAGTGAGAAAGACGAAGTGGACCTGCAGCATCAACACACAATGATCATGTCCAGGCCAGGGATATAGAGCTCCTGATATGAATACTTGAAATGAGAAAGTGAGAGTTGAGAGTATGCTGACAGTCCACCCCTTTCTAGTGCTAAGCCACTGCCCATACAGTGGCTTTGTGGTTGGCATTTCTGCTTTGCATCACTCATTGCAGCTCTTATTAATCAGAGGTTCAACCCAGGCCTCTTTCCAGCATAGTTAACAGATGTCCCTTTTGACAACACAGTTCTGGTGTTTTCATATACATGTAGTGCTACCCCCAGAGGAGCGGCTTGTATATTTGCCCAGGTCTCCCCTTCCTTCACCCCGCAATCAGGCACAAAGTATTTTCCACAGCCAGGTGCAGACACACTTTCACTCGTTGTCTACAATGACCAGTATAGGGGGTATTGTTTTTGGAGTTTTATTGTAGAATTGGGGATAGGGATTGGGGATTTTAGTAGGATACTCCAAAACAGGGGTGGACTGACCATTTGGAAACTCGGGCACTGCCCGAGGGCCCGGGGTCGGTAGGGGGCCCCATGAGATGCCCCTGGTACCTTTTTCATAGGCTTTTTTGAGTTTGGGCAAGGACACAGGGCCCCATGATCCCCTATTGCCCGGGGGCCCCATGAGTTGTCAGTCCGCCCCTGCTCCAAAATTAGAACTATTCACAGCTGAGGACATCTAATTGACCTCTTCGTTAAGTACTGTTGAAGTCTTTGCTGAAGGCAGATAGAGGACTTCTCTTTAGATTACAGCAACAAGTAGTTTAGGATTGAGCAAAGTCTTTTGCAGTAGCAACAGTTGGACAAACTCTTCAGAACACCAGACAGCATTCCCTTTTCTCAGACCCACGCTGACTATCAAGTGCTAGAGGGGTAGTCAGTACACAGAATCCCCAAAATCTCTCAGTGTCTTTACTCACAATGCCCAAGGACAGAA